CACTGGGGCTGGTTTCAAGCAGCGATTCTCTGTCACTCTGAGCCACTGGAAATACACGGTCTCGTGCCACTGCATATCACTTTGTAGCATCCTTTGAGGAACTGTTTTTCCAAGAAAAGCTGTGAGCGATGCTGCATTGCTGGGAAGCAGAGCAGTGCTGCCTGCCCATTTCTTTCATGGGAGCTGGGCCACAAGCTCTGTGATGCTCTGTTTTCCCAAAGGGAGCTGGTGAACACCCAGGTAAGACGAGCAGCAGCTCAAAGCTGGGACAATATATTAAATCAGATGGTGACTTACAGCCTGTTGAAGTGACACTCACATCATACCCCAGTCCTCGCTGATTCTCTCATTGGTTAAAGCTCTGAGCTGCAAAGTCAGCTGTAAACTTCATCACCAAAGCTCCTTTATTTCTAGGGAGAGACCTAGAAAAGTTTCCCAGGACAGGGTATATCTTCCCCAGGAAGGTAACCCACCTGCATCGGTCACTCTTGTTTCTGAAGCGCTGTTGGGAATCTTCCTGCCGTGCAGCATGAAGAAGCTCAGAAAGGCAAAGGGCAGCACTTGGTCTAACACACGGGTGAAGGCAGCTGACTTTACAGTAAGGCCGAGACATCTGCAGTTTGCAGAAGTTAAAAATCATGCTTTGATATGCTCCTGAAAACATGGTGCCCATTGCTTATACCTGTCAGGTTCCACTGTAGTCAAATCCCCAAGTAACTAAACAAATGAAAAGGCAGTACCTGCACACAGGCTGATCCACACTGCCTTTAACTCGGGATGCACAGAAGGGACAAACAGTGCCTGTGGCTGAGGTTTTCTCATCCCCATGAGCCCTAGGCCCCAGCAGTCTTTAATGTGTGGCACAACACAAATTGTGTCCCCAAGGCTTAGAATCATGATCCCCTACAGTCCAAACCAGCTGTTAGCGAGCAGCGGGGAGCAGGAAGCGCAAATGGGGTAAAGACAAAGCAATTATTTTCTTTTGGAAGGAGATAAATGCTTAACAGAGAAATCAGAATGAGGACAGTTGCCCTGAGTCCTTTCAGTCTTTGGTTTCCAAGTTCCTTTGTGTCCCTGAAATGCCTCTTTGATCACAGCCACCGTTCCCTTGGGTTATGTCCTTGACCCAGCATAAAACTCCCATAGGACTGATAGACTGCTCGGAGAAAGAGGTCCCCTTCCCACCTGCTGTTCAAAAGCAGCCGAGATAAACCAACCTGCTTAGCCACATCTACAGAACACTCAGTCAAAGTCTCAATTTTCATCAAACCCTCCTCCAGTTCCCACAGCTGTAGCCATCTGGTTGGGTCAGACACTACCATAAGCTCACACCCTCCAAGACCAGTGCCAGCACTTCACTCTCTGCTTCTACAGCTCCTAAAACAACTCTGTCCAAGTTCCTGACTAAGGCTCAACAACAAGCATACTGTAAAGCAGTAAGTAAAACTGCTAAGAATTCCTGTTTTCACCCAAGACTCCCAGGAGAAGCAACAAATTTTGAGGGTCATCTGGCCAAATCACACAGTTAATACAACAAATTCTCTGAGGATATATACAGGGTTTGAGCAGAGCAACAGCACAAGTTCAGCCCCGTTAAATATGACAGGTGACCACAAAACCCCATCTCCAACCTCCTCATTCCTATTTCTACATCTTGATTTCTTTTAGCACAGACCCGTGTTTCAGTCCAAAATCACTACACGGTCTATTTTAGGGTGAAAGCATGAAACGCTGAGCTAAGAATCTACGGCAGGCGCACAGGTGAGCAGGGCCTTTCTCCTGGATGGGGAAGGGAGCTAAGACGCAGCCGAGCAGCGGCTGTGAGCAGCAGAGCGGCAGTGTCGCCCGCTGGCCGCTTGCAGCATTGCCAGCTGACAGCGCCCTGGCCACAGCATCCTTCATCATCCCTGCCCTCCTCACCCTCCTCCCTGCTCTCGCTTTGGGGAAACGTGCCCAGTTGGCAGCCCTGAAGGTTCACCGGTACAAAATGCCCCAGTTCAGGAGCAGGCCAGGCTACCACGGCGCTCTTGGGAGGAAAGGCCAACCCCAGGAGCTCTGCAGGTGCAGCCCATGAAGGGGTGCAGGTAGGACCACACAGTCCAGATAAAAAAATATCATCCCACATCCTTAACTTTTCTTCCTATTTCCACCCTGCCCAGCTTCCACTCTCTGCAAATATTAATCCCAAAGGTAATTAATAACTCCTCAGCAAGAACAGAAGTAATTTTAGATAAGATACGTGTGCCATCACCCTGGGATGTCAATATAGCAAAACATAATCCCTGCAACTGTTAGTGAATGGCTACTTCACAGCAGTTGAGTGGGCTTTTATCAGAAACCTGGACTTTAATTACAACCTCTGCATTAATAAAGCACAGAGGTGTGCAGCCGTATGTCAGCACCCAGAACTAGGAGGGGAGAAGGACAAGGAAATGTGACCCTGGCACACTAAGTCAGGAATAAAAAGGTGATCAGCAGAACACCACTATCCCACTGGTGCAGTGGCAGTGAGAGCCAATAACACACCCCTCCACAGCCTCTCACAGACAAGCATTCAAGGCAGCAGGCAAGTCCGAATTTGCCAGGAGCACACTCGCCAGCTTGCCACCAATATCTGGTTTTAGTAGCTCAAGAACTCCAGAAGAGAGGACGTGTTTAGCCAGGGGACACCTGCAGCTGTTCCAAGGACTGAGCAGTACTTTTCTCTGGTGTAGCAGTGACTTTCCTGCGTCAGATGAGACACATCCACACCCCCTCTTATCACTGCAGATTCCTGCAAAGTTTTGCTGCAATAGGAACTCCTCATGCAGGCGATGGAGTTTTAGACCTCTACTGCAGCTTCACTGAAAACAGCATTTCCCTCTCCCACCCTCAAGCCCACCACCCCAAAACCTGGGCTGCTGCTTCCACACTGTCAGCCCCATCCGCCTCACCTGGCTGCACGATGCCTCCCTGTAGAAACATGGGCCTCCAGAGACCAACCCAAGCTCCCTAGAGCACCTTCTAGAGGCAAAACTGTATGGCCACATCACCAGAGGAACCTCTCCCCAAGCACATTGGGTGGTTTTCTCATGTGGTTTCATTATAAATTCCTTACAAAAGGGCTCACATGAAGACACCTTTACCGTAACAGAAATTGTCTTTATTTTCTTGCAGTTTAAGTGTTGTCCTTGCTCAGAACCCTTCTTGAAAGCACTCTCCCAAGGTGATGCACAGATGAGCAGCCAGTATCTCCTGAACTCACTCAGCTCCATGTGAGCTGGCCACTAGAGCACCGGTGGATAGCCACCTTCAAAGGAGCAGAAACATCTTAACAGAAAGTTCAATGCAGCTTGGAGACAGCATCGCACAAAAACTGGTTAGCACAAACCAGGACCAGCAACAGCAATGCCCATGGCAGGCAGTTCAACCACGCTGGGAGGTCTGTCAAGTACCTAGAGAAAGCTGCTGTGGGCATGCCATGTAACAAAAGCAGCAGCAAAAATAAGGCAGAGTTGAGCCAAGTTTCTTGAACCTACATTTCCTTTGTAACCCTGCTGTAAAAGATGCATGTGCAGAAGGCCACGATGATGTTCATCTACAACTATAAAGATGAGCCATCACCTCTAAGGAGAGTCACTCACTGCCACCTCCACTTCAAGCCTGTCACCCAACTCTTCCACCAGGCAGAACAAGGCGTCAATAGAGGAATGTGCAGTGATCTCTCTCTCAGAAAGCAGCCGAGACCCAGGGAATGGCCTTCACCACTGCTGGGAGGTCATGTGAAGGATTTGCAGGTTGGTACGAATGACACTGGATACCTGGATGCATGGATTTACTTCAGTAAGGGAAGTTTACAGAACAGAATTAAAAAATAAAAGTTTAGGGAAACAAGTTCAGGGACACTGCAGTCAAACTTCTGAGCCACTGACGCTCTGCAGCTTGGGAAGTTTGTATTTAGGCCCAGTTCTGAATCCATTTTTCAAAGATGTCAGCTTCATCAATGACATTATTGCGATAACTTTAAATGGATTTGGGTGGTGATAAGTTAAAGCTGGAGCAAGAACAAGCAACCACTATGCTACCTGCTTACTGTTCTTCCTCCAGCAGCTATCAAGGTTATTGCCAAGACTCATCTTTTCTGATCTGTACTGCTAAGCACAGGAAGAGTGCTGCAATGACCAAAAAGCCCAGATAAAAACAAACCTCAAACCAATCTGAAACTCATCTGACAAACAGACCATAGAAAAATATGTTCTGGCATCTTAAGCTTGATGGTATAAGGAGATGATCTGGAGACAATTATTAACTCAAACAGCAGCTATTCCTCCAAGACTGAATGTCCCAGCAGTTGGTTCCACATGAACATTTATTGCTGCAACTCAGTATGGATTAAGGAACTTGGACACAGACGTGGGTGCCTGCGATCAGAGCTGTGAAGAGGATGCGACAGAGCGCGTTCAGGTGGACTGACCTTGAGATGCGCACACAAGAGAACACACCATGAACTGCAACAAGCAATTGTCTCCAGCTGATGTTGGAAAGTAAAGCAGCACCAGCCAGCAGCATAGGACAATAGCCACTCTTTTACTATTCCAAGCTCTGCCCCCACGCCAGTCATGATGCTCTTTTTTCCTCTGTATCTTGCAGCACATGCCCTGTTCCCCTGAGCTGTCCTCAAAGGCAAACAGGAAGAGGCAGAGTAGTGTTTTCCATGTTCTCTCCTCCCCCTTACATCTGTCCATTCCTCCACTCATGGAGCCCTACGCTATTCCTCAAGGCACAGACGTGAAGGACATCTCAAGATGTGCCAGGCTTCTTCAAGCCATTTAAAGCTTTCCTCAGATTCACCTCAGCACATTCAAGCTACAAAGTACGCAATTAACTGGAAAGGAAAAGTGGTTTTTAATAGCTTCACCAGTAACAAGAGCCACTCAACTACTGCATAGTGCTACTAATGTCTCCATAGTTATAAATACAGTACAGAAAGACAGACAGGACTTTCTGCAGAAAAATGAACATGATTCCACTCCATTATAACCTTTTTATTGTTAAAAGGACAGATCTTGACAGTGGAAAGAAAAGGATGTTTCACAAGGAGAACAGGATGTAGCTTCTACTGGTCCTTCAATTCCTTCAGTCTTCTGATGGCAGATTTGACTGTCACTGCAGAGGTGGTACTGGAAGAAGAAGCAGAGTCATGTGCATGTGGCAGTAGAACAACCCGCGCCAATGTCATTTTTTTGAGAAAGCACGAATCATTTCAAACAGTTATCGCCTGATTGCACTGTCAGCAGGGAGCTAATTCCACTTTGATTTTCATGACAAAGTGTAGGCCTTTGTCTACAAAAGCACACACAACTTCACAAGCTACATCTCCACCCAAATTATCCAGTCGTGCATCGACTACATCCACAAGCGCGTAGGCTCAGATTCCTAGCGACTGTTTGTGTGGGACAACAGTGTCTTCTACCAGAAATGGGGGAAGAGTAAAGAAAGGGAGTAAGCAAGGGCAACATCATAAAAAGAACTATGATTCAATGCTTTTAAAACAAAAACCATTTTCCTTGGAGTAAACTTGGTTCTGCCTACGGTATCTGTGTCTCTGAACCAAAAAGGCTGGGGTAGTAACCACAAAAAAATGCTGCGTAGGCTTTGAAAGAAGAGCTAAGAGTTCCCTTACACAATTGAAATCTTTACACAAAATTTTTATACAATCAAAAGAATCAAGGAAGGAAAAGTAATCCCCAGGCGAGAGGCATAATATTTATTAGAATCTGTTGAAGCTCTTTTCAGAATAGGTCAGAGGGACACTTACAGCACCCTGGGATGGCTTAGATGAACCAGCCATTCTCTCTGCTCCTTTCCTTCCAACATCACCAAAAAACTGGCTCATGGGTGATGCCTCGTACAAGCAACAACTGTAGTTCACATCTCCTGTACAAAATGCCACTACAGCCAAGGCAGACACTACTTAGATAAAAATATTTGCTTCAGCATTTGCAGATGTTTCAATTTCTTTACCTGAAGTTTGGGAAAAGATGCAGAGCCTATGTTTCTGAAGACTAAAACAACTGCTTTGATAAAGTCCAGAGATAAAGAAATTTTGGAGGGACTCACCAAAACCAGCAGCAGTAATATGATGGAAAAATGTAATATTCAAAGAAACTGCACAACAGTTACTGGAAGGAACAGCAATAAAATCCAATTTGATCCATTTCAATCAAATATTACCACTGCAGGTTAAAAAACCCCACACGTCAATAACTCGGGACAGATCTACTTAATGGTTAGTAGATTAAAGAAAGAAAAAAAAGCTGTATTATGCCTTAGCTATGTGAGAATTAACACTGATAAAGAGTTTCTTCATTTCCTTACTTGTAAGTCCAGGCACCACCAGCAACTGTCTTCATGCAGGATCCACAGTGCCAGATACCCACAGCCTTCCTCTTCATTTTTGTCTATAATAAAATAAAAAATGCACTCTCCATCAGCTGAAAAAGCCAACAGAACTTGTATTACTGTCCAAACAACAACATTCAGGTGAGAACATCAGTACCACACCACAGTATTACCTATGAGCCTAGTTAAAACAGGCACCCATCAGGGAATGTCTTTATTCAGATTCTTCACAACAGGTAAAGTCCTTCTGAAATACTTCTTACTCCAGATATAGAGTGGCTCATTTCTAAGTGCATAATCAAAAATCCAGTTCTCTTTTAAAAAGAAAAATACTAAGGAGTTGAATTGGTCATAACAACTGATATTCTCATCCGGTTAGGTGACCAGTGTTAGCACCGCTGTTACTAGTGCTCCCTTGACATCCCAAGACTGCTCTAAACTGGACCCCCTTTGAACAGTATCTGAAGAGTGAGCTGTGGGTGCCGAGCTCCTTCCACCCAGGCTCGTCTCCATCATCTTGCGAAGATGACGACAGGCTTGCCTGGACCTATATTTAAGCACCTCTGCAAATGGGGTTACCAATATTGTCACTTCACAGCAGAAAGACATTAAATATTTAAAAAAAAATAAAACCAAACAAAAAAACCCCCACAGACAGAAACATTTTTAAATTTCCTTACTTAAAAGATACTTATTTTACAGGCATCAATAAAAATTATCCGGGCAAAGGATGAGCTGATGGGCCTCTCAAACTGTCAAAAACCAGATTTAAGAGTAAATTTTGATTATGTACATGAGCAGAAAAGAATACTTATCAGTAATTCTCCTCCATTCGGAGTTGTACAGCACACAAATACAAATAAGCAACTGCAATCAAAAGCTGTGAGAAAAGCAAACTCCCCTAAGTAAGCTGCAAAAGTTACTGAAGGGAAAAAACCAGTTTAAGTCATGCCTTAATTATTAGGATAACAAGGGTATTGTTTTAATTCTGTCAGGTGGTTTTGTGTCATGAAATATGTTCATTTTCATTGAATTGCCACTAAACACACACATGAAACATCCAACAACTCTTTATTTTTTAAAAAATTCTGACAGTAGCCTGAAGTTCACAATAAACTAATCCCAGTCTCAAAACTAGTTCTCTCTTCAGCAGAACTACCAAAGCATCAAACTGCATTTCACGCATCAGCAACAAAGTTCTTTTTAAAGGCTGTTTTAGGAAAAGAGGTCTCTCACCTTGCCACAGAAGGAGCAGGTATACTTGGCATGCTGGCTAATTTCAATCTTCTTCACCATCTTCCTAAGGGACGCACCGTAACGGGTACCATATTTACCCACAATCCCAACCTTCTTGGTGCGCTTCGCCTGTTGGGAAGCAAAGCAGAACAAGCTTCAGCTTTACTGAGATCGCAATCTCCTCGGCTGTTCTCCCATCCTGATGCGACTGCAAAGCGCTCAGCACATAAAAGCAGCGCTGCAGCCGACCAACGTCTCTCCTTGACGCTGTAATTAAAGTATTTGCTAAGAACAAGCGAGAGGCTCCGGCTGCTGCAGCCGCCCAGCACCGCCACCCCCTTACCGCGCACTCCGCTGTGAACCTGGGCCCGGCCTCTTCCCAGGACACCTATTCGGTCTGCCGGCGTCTCCTCCATCCCTCCCCGGCCCGCCATCTCTCCCCAGGCCACCTAGGCGAGAGCCAGCCCCGTGCGCGGTCGGGCTCTGCTGGCGGGCATAGCCCACACAAGGCCTCAGCCCGGCGGCCCTCCTGGTCTGTCCCGCCGCCCCTCGCGGCCCCGGCGCGGCGGAGCAGGGCAGATGGCGGCGGATAGGCCGCGGCGCCCCCATCCCACTCACCATCTTCCTTTCCGGCGCCGACGCTGAGAGGAAACAGGAACTGCGCAGGCGCAGTACGAGCCGTCGCCGCCGGAAGTGAGGCGACGAGGCCACGGAGGGTGGAGCAGACGGGCCTGGGAGCGGGTGTGTCTGGAGCGGGTGGTGCCGTAGCTCTGCGGTAGCGCTGTGTGTTCCGTACATTTCTCCATGACAATGCGGTTACCCTACAGCACACCAAACGGCACGCTGGTGCAGCCTGATGGCGGGAGATGCATCGCTCAGAAAACGCCGTGTATCAATGCAAAACCCAAGCGGTACCTCAGCCTCAGCAGCACCGAACGAGAGCTGTACGGTGAAAGCTCGGATTCCGGGATTTCCACCCAAGGAGGCCACAGCAGGAAAGGAGATGGATCAGCTACGTTCATTCACCTCATTTTTTAAAGGGAATAAATAGTTGGTAGATGTCAGAATTACAAAAAGAACAGAAAACCAGACCGGAGCTGCAGAAGGGGTTAAAAAACAAATATATGGATTTTTTAAAAAAAAATCAATGAGGATTAATTTCAACCTTAAAACATACCAACCCTAAACCCAGAGTTTTCAAGGTAACACAAGCAGGTGCAACCATGGCATCTACCCCATTACTTGAATTGTCACAGAATTGTTATGGTTGGAAAAGACCTCTAAGATCAATTCCAACTGTTAACTGACTCTACCGTGCCCACTTCTAAACCATGTCCCTGGGCACCGTATCTAGATGGCTTTTAAATACATGCGAGGATGGTGATGCCACCACTTCCCTGGGCAGCCTGGTCCAGTCTTTGATAACCCTATCAGTGCAGAAGTTTTTCCTAATGCCTAATGGTAAACTCCCCTGCTGTACCTTGAGGCCATTTCCTCTTGTCGGTTGTAAATTGCCAGATGAGACCTGCACCTATCTCCCTACAACCTCCTTTCAGGTAGTTGTGGAGTGCAATAAGGTCTCCCCTCAGCCTTCTTTTCTTCAGACTAAACAACCCCAACTCCCTCCGCCGCTCCTCCTAAGACTGGTTCACCCAGTGAGACAATCAGCCATCAAAGCCTCCACGTGACGCCACGGAGGTGGCCTCCTGGCACCCAGTGGGGTGGACCAGCCCTGTAGCGTGGGGCCAGGAGGGCTCCTGTACCGCTCAGACCTGGCACAGACACAGCCTGGGAAACTTGTACCAACACTGCCAAGCTGCAATGCTCATAACGGGATTAACAACCCATTAACGTCCATTAAGAGCTGTAATCCGGTTAGCTGGAGAGCTTTTTAATGTGCAGAGTTGGCTGCAGCTCATCCCCTCCTGCCAGGAGGAAGCCGGAGCTGCCCAGCCCACCCAGAGGACCTGTCCACTTTTTGCAGGTGCTTTTCCTCCCGCTAGAGCCCCATACTCACCCTGGCTGCCTCAACCCACAACAGCCCTCCCTCTTCATTTGCAGTCTAGCTAATAGGGATGTAACAACTAGAGCATACGCTGCCACTACGTCAGCTTTTCCCTGGATGGGGTCTGTACTTTTGGAGATGCTGATGGACAGACATCACATCCCCTTTTGGCCTTTGCTTTGAGGGTCTGAACTCTCACATTTTTAATTCCATCAGGCTCCCTGTTCCCCAGTCATCCCTGCAAGTTCTCTTCCCGTCAGAGTGAGAGTCCTCCCAGGAGCTGGTGGGCCCTGTTCCAGATGAGTGCTCAGTAGGGCTTTAGATCTCGAATCCTGTGTTCAGTTTTGGGTCCCTCACTACAAGAAAGACATTGAGGTGCTGGAGCATGTCCAGGGAAGTGCTCTAGACCCTTCACCACCTTCATTGCCCAAGTCTTACGAGGGGTAACTGAAGGAACTGGTGGTGTTTAGCCTGGAGAAAGGAGGCTGAGGGAAGACCTTACTGCTCTCTGAAATCTACCTGAAAGGAGGTTGGAGCAAGGTGCAGGTCAGTCTCTTTCTCCCAAGTATCGAGTGATAGGACAAGAGGAAACAGCCTCGTGTTGCACTAGGGGAGATTTAGATTAGATATTAGGAAGAATTTCTTCACTACAGTTATCAAGCACTGGAACAGGCTGCCCAGGGAAGTGGTTGAGTCACCATCCCTGGAGGTATTTAAAAGATGTCCCTAAGTGCCACATCTACACATGGTCTAGTGGTGGATTTGGCGGTTTCAGTTTACGGTTGGACTTGATGATCTTAAAGGTCCTTTCCAGCCTAAATGGTTCTATTCTATGATTTATATCTTCCTATGTTGAGTCAAAATATCATTCAAGACATCCTAGGAACATATATGCCCTTTTCAGATCCTCATCATGATGATGACTCACTGGATACATCTTTGATACCAACGTTGTTTTGGTTTTTTTTTTTAAAAAAAAGAGTAGAAAATAAAAAGTTCTGTGGGCTGCTCTGTGACTGGTTAAAAACAACAAACATTTGTCAGCCAACACAACCAGGATCTACTGCTATTCTCCCATCTATCCACAGAGCTGAAGTTTGCTGTGACAGTACAACGCATGGTCATATCCTTCATCTAACAGCAGTACAGACAGCTCTGCCAGCAACCAAACCCAGCCCTCTCAGATGACAGCCATTCCCAGCACTGCCAAAATAAACACACGTTTCCAAGTGACTAAGATGGATGGATGCAGACAGGCCAGCACAGCTGCAGAAGCCTTGTCTTCGCAGTCCACTACCTCAAACTCTTCTGCATGCCCCAAGCTGGCCAGCTTTGTGTACTGGAGATAGAGTTTGACCTGCTGTTTTATTGCTCAGGTATTCTTACCTGCTGTTCCTGGTTCGGCATCCTTCCTGAAAACGTGCCTTTCTCTAACGTGGGTGAGAGCACGGACACAGCTGTACAAGGCGTCCAGTCACAGTAAGATGCTCCAAGATCCAGTAAGATGGGTCCTTGCCTTTACTGGTCTCTAGGTAATGCCAAAAAGTTATTTATACCATCTTCGATGGGCAGGTGTAAGAGTTCCCAAGAGCACTGCCTGTTCCTAAGCCTGCCTGGGGGTCTCACTGGCAACCTGCACACTGCCTTGTACACATTCTCATCAGCAAGCCTTGGAGATCCTCTGCGAGCCTGCTGGCAGCTTCCCAACCACCTCCTCGTGATACTGACAGACTAATGCTGTAACTGGGCTACAGCCTGCACAGTCTTTCCAATCCCTTGATGTACTGACTAAAAGCACTTTCCTGCAAGGTTCTTCTCCCCTTTTTTCATCTCGTAAGGATAAAGAGAATCTCAAGTGTACGTGAAGAGCCTTTGCAACTCTCCAGCAAACCAGATGAGACTTTATGGGTCCTAACAAAGAAAGAGTACACCTAGCATCCCTCTAATAGGGCTGGGATTTATCCATATATGGATAACATAAATTGAGTTTATGGGAAGCAGAATTCTCCAAGGGTGCTTCCAGCAGATTTCAGAAAAATACTGTTTTGAAGTAGCTGTAGCTTTACAAGGAAGAAGATAATTACTCCTATAGGAGATGACAATATGGGTACACAAATCTTGTCTTCCGTATTTTTCTTTGGTAGGCAGACAGCAACATTTCTCACCCTTTACTCAGAACAACCCTCTCTGCAAGGAGAAAGATCACGCGCCCTAGAAACAGATTCAATACTCTGTGTTTAAGAAGAAGGACATTTTAAAATGTCAAAAAATGTGTATCTCGTGGCCAGCTGTTGGAGAAAGAGAAATTATATTTATATCTTGGTCTCAAATCCAGAGCTAAAGCATTTCCTCCAGTCACACGACCCTTGGTTCTACTCCTCTCCTCTTGCACACACACCAAAGCACCTTCTGCAGTCATGAATGAGACCCAGCATTACTGCATACACAGCCTGTAGGGCATTTCCACGATGACATTTGCTGAAAATGGGATAATCAAACCTTTTGATGCAGGAAAAAATATCCAAGTTATTATCAGGTTGACCTTGTAGCACCGTCTTTTTCCTCCTCAACCATGGAAGAGAGGTCTTTGTCACTGTCTGGTATCTGCGCACAGCCAAGCATCCTGCCTGCAGAGCATGTTAGCTCCTGGCTTCCAGAAGCTAAATATAAGCCTTCAGTTTGCTTCTCCCCAGCCCTTCCCTACAGAGTACAGCTGTAAAACACAGCTAACTGGTACCTCTGTGAAACTGCATCTTCTCCTGTACTCCCTGATCACAGTTGCTTAACACTAGCCTATTTCCAAGTACCTTCTATTACTATGACCAGAAGCATGAAAGACGTTAATTTGCGATCATGCTACACTGCACTGGCAATAATACACAAGAAATGTAAAGACTATCATGCTGAGATGCCTGAAAAGACCAGTTGTGATAAACAAAGCCATTTGCCTTTACATCAAGCCCACATAAAAAGCGGTCTCTAGAGTTTTTTGCAGAGGCATCACCGCTGTGAAGGGGAATCAGGTCATGCCCAAGGGACAGTGAGTGTGTCACAAGCTCCTGAAAGGAATCAAACAGCAGGTTTGCTCACGCAGCACCAAGGCTGGGAGTTCATGTCTCCAAGTTCACAGGGCTGCGGGGATGATAAAGACTATCACAAACTGAAAACAGGCATTTTAACAACTGCATCAAGCAACAGTGCTGCTTTTGGCATTCTCAGTGTAACGACAACAGAGCTGTAACAGAAGTAACAGGTCCTAGAGTACCAGCCTAAATCTCTTATGAAAGTAGCTATTAATTAATCTATAAGTAAAGTATAATGGGAGTTTCCCTTTGAAAAGTTGATTTGTTTTAGAAAGCACAAAAGGAAGTGTTCCCAAAAAGAATTCAGTCATTCAGTCATTGTAAATATTAAAAACAAACAAACCCCCAACCAACCAACCAAAAAACCCGCTAATATTTCCATTGCATCATGTATTTGAGCTTAAGGTCCAAATAAGAGATGAAATTTTAAAAGAGAAAAAGTATCAAAAGCTTGGGAACCACAACTTAAACTTTTTATTTAAACAGCTCAGTCCTAAATCAGTATTTTTACAAAGCAAGAGCAAAAATCTGCATGTATTCCTCTCTCCTCACTCATCTGCAGAAATCAGTCTCGAGTCTTAAAAGAAAACACACGTGCACCCCCTTCTTGAGCAGCCATGCTTAATCCCTGGCAGTCAGCACAAGCTTCACCCTCCACTGACACAAGAAGCATGTGTCACGGAGTGGGTCCTAAGGTTTGGCAGATGAGGCCAGGATCAGTGTGCTCAGGCAGACTTGTGCCCAACAGGCAACATGCACCACCTGGCAGACAGTTACACAACTGAGTTTCAAAGTACTCACTGCTCTGCACAGACAAAGACTGGCTCTCCCTCCTCTCCCTCCCCTCTACATTAAGATCTGTCTGGATCTCGTCTCCTAATTGCCAAAAAATGCCAGAGAGCCAGTTTGTGAGAGACCCAAGTAAGGGCCAAATTTTGCCAGTGAACTAACTCCTATAAACACAAAGTAAAATTCTTGGAGGTGGAATATTGATTGTTAAAAGCAGTCTGCAGCTGCTGAGAAGTTACTTTTCACAGCAGTTCTACTTGTGGACAGACACCCATTATCTGCTTGTTAAACAGAACTGTGGAAGCTGATGTGCTGAAACAAAGTAGCATGCAACTTGCCCATGGCCACTTAGTCATCAGCAAAACCTGGACTGCAAAACCTATAGGCTGCCAGGTGTGCGCTGCTCATCCGTCACGTTGTCAGATTGCCTTCTCATCCTTTGAGGTGAAATGCACTAGAGATACAGAAAGCTTAAGTCTTCTATTTTGGAAAACTCAAAAAATATACCTGATTGCTTTTATAACTTTATTTTCCATTTTAAAAAAATCTCTTAGCCACCATCTCTTTTGCTGTCACCATCAAACTTTAAAAAACTCCTCAATACGCCGCTTTTTGGGGGAACTCACTGAACACGTCTGTCCTTCTGTATCTTGCAAGTCCCTGCCAGAGTCAAACTCACAGCAAGCATCAACTGCTTCCAAAAGCAAAACTTCATCAGTTTCATCTCTGCTTTCAGAGAAGGTCTTCTGGAAAAGTTCATAGATGGTCTTCTGCTTTGGATCTGTCTGAGAAATTAGAACAGATGGAATCTGCATACAGATTGTCATATAAAAACAAAGTGAGCAACAATCAGAGGGCACTCCTCCTGAGACAGTGCACGTGTGTTTATATCATATGATATATGAGATATACGTATATGTATGTATGAAACATATCTCAGACTATGGAGGCTATCATGTCTCCTTGCATGGAGCAGGTTTGGGAACTCTGAAGAGTTCAAGCCAAGGCACGGATCCTGGGAGGAGTTGGAAAATCTGGTCTGTGGCATTAAAGGCAGAACAGGTGTAATGTCAGCATGTCAGTCACCTGCCAATCTAGATGTACACAAGCCAAAGCCCATTCAGCCTCTCCCAGGGACCATCAATAATCTTTTAGGTCAATTACCTTAAGGCAGTAATTAGTGGATTCAGCTGTTTCAGAGAAATTGGTTTCTGAAAGACCAGCTTCCCCCAGCACTTTTATCTTCTCTTGAATCATTGGCCTAGGAGAGATAAACAGAAATTAGTGAACAAGAGAAAATACGCAAGGACACTGTATCATCTACTATGTGTAGATGAAAAAGAGATGTCAGAAGGGTATAAAGACTGCTTTTCTACCAAAGCTTGATAGTTTATTAACCTCTCTTGCTTTTGTTTATGATGATTGTATGCTGCCCTGGGATCTCAATCAATTGAATTTAAATAAGTATCAATCCAATCTTAAAAAAGTAACAAGAAGAGGATTTCAGGCTATAAATATTTGGAGAATACATATATCCAACAAAGAAACTAGCTGACTGAGGCAATGCCAACGCTATGAAGTCAGAACAAGAGGATGCAGCTAAAAGACTGAACCCAGTAGTTCAGTCTTCAGGGCAATCAATGGTAACCCCCATCAACAGACACATCAGCATTCCTAGGGTATCTCCCAATGTACTGCAGGAGGAAGAATCCTGCCAAGAGGTCCCAACAGCACCTGCAGACTGGACACGTCAAAAGCAGCAAAGGCCACAGCACAATTAATGCATTTACCAAGTAACCTTGTAATCTTGTTCTTTTTGCTGCTTTTAAAAAGGATGCCACTGTCCTCCTTTTAAGAGCCATATTTCCTTCCCATTAGGCATTAATGACTGCATGGACAGCATTTCACAAATAAAGGCAGAATTACTGTCATTAACTTTCCATGAAACTTGGGCAATGCATCAGTTTCCAGATCCCAGCATTGTAGGGTTATAATTATTTGCCATCATGATATTCTGGGAAATGCACAAGTTCACTTAGTTCATTCATTCCTTTAAACAAGGTAATAAAGATGTAATTTAGGGCTTTAAATGAAACAGCTGGTGGATAATTTATTTTCATCATTTGCAGGTCAGTTCCTTTACAGCACTAAGGTTTCCTCAGATCCTCCCCTTCCCCAGGATGTCATATTCCTCAGCACTAAGGATCAGCGTCCACTGACAGCTCTGGCTGCAGCCAAAAAGACTCAGACCACAAGTCCCCAGAGGTGGGTCAGTAGCACTTCTTTAATCCATCCAAAGGGCTCACTGAATAGCAAGAGGAAATCAAGAATGCAGTCCTCCTCCACAGCTCCCTGTCAAAGCACTCAGCAGCCAGATTGCTCCTCAGACCAGATCCATGATACACTGGACTATCTCCAGTGTCTGTTGGCTTTGCCTGCAAGTACCCCAGCACTTTGCAGTACCCCAGCACATGAATGCTCTGGGCTGTATCCAAGACAATTCTTTCTCCTTATACAGAAGCTGTGAAGGTTTTAGATGCATCAGCTCTCCCAAAATTTCTCCCAACAGCCCTTTCTTTGTCAGATAACTACTTCTATGCCTCCTGCTTGTCATCCACTTATGACCACTGTGGCTGGGCCACATCACCAGCTTGCAGCAGCCCTGGTTGGCAGTAACTGCTCCTCCCCTCACAGGCTGTAGACATCAGCACCTTACACCACATATGTGACACACAGTGAAAACAGGTAGAAGAAGAACCAAAGTATCTTTCTCAGTTCCTACCACAAGTAGTCATCTGCTGTGCCTTTAGCCACCAGGTAGTGAACATTAACGGAGCTGGTCTGCCCAATTCGATGTGCCCGATCTTCTGCTTGGATCAAAACCTTTATGTAAAAACAAGACAAAGAAAATAAAGTGAGAGCTGCAACATCTAAGAAACAGTGTAAGCACCAGAGAACAAGGAGATCTTGTTTCTTGTGCTTAGCAACTATTTCTCATCTGGATCCTGTTAACAACTGCATTCTCAAACACAGACTAAGCCAAGAAGTAATTTGGTGCACTAAGTTCCCAAAAGGCACTGAGCATTTTTCAAAAGCAGAGGGTCAGCACTGATGATGGACCCTTTCAGGTCTTGACTGGACGAGCTGTTGAGAGCTCTGTCAAGTTGAGAAACAGGAGCATGTTTCCCTTCCATGCCATCTTCCCCAGCCATGAAGCTGTGTAACCAGCTTCACTGGTGCAAAGCCAGGCACCTGGAGATGCACAGACAAGTAGCCATCAGAGAAAGAAAGAGAAAAGCCCTAGAGAAAGTCTCCTGCCCCCTACATCACCTCCTAAGCACTAATGTTTCTGCTCCAAGGAGTATCCACCCTTGTCCCCTCCAGAACACACACCCCTGGATTCCAGAAGAGCTCTGCAAACACCACCAGGTCCGCAGCAGACAGCGTCAGGCCCATGTTTGCAGCAGTGAGGGACAAGACAGCCACAGTCTGCTTCTCTGAGAACTGGAACTTCTGGCACAGAGACTGCCGCTCAGCTGAAGGCGTGGAGCCGTCAATGCGAATGTATTCAACATGCTGTGAAAATGCAGAAGATACTTTTTAGAGGTCTTGTGTCCCCTTTCCTATATCCTCCTTCCATGTTTTAGTGGATTCTGTTTCCCCTTCCCGTGGGCGAACCAGAAACATAAAAAGGCAACAAATACATTTTTAAGGCCTTTCCTCATCTTTAAGGCAGACACTGTAGCTCAGTGTCTAACGTACCTCCCCTCTGTTCACAATGTGTAACTTGTTCCTATGTCCACTGCTCTCCCACCAGTCCTCAGCAACATGCTGGCAACTCAGGTACAGTGAATAATTAGCCAAACACTTCTGAAGTCAAGAGAGATGACTAGCAGGTCTATCAAGTCTCCCTACAGTATCCCAGTTCAAAAATGTAAGAGCACCACAGAGATAAAGGAAGGCAGCCATAGTTGGACTTTGGTTGGTACATTCTCCTTCTCTGAGGAAAGCCTGCAGGACAAAGCAGAGAAGGCCACACAGGGTAACGCTCCTCCAAGAATTCACAAGCTTCAGGGCAGGCAGTGGAGATTAAAGAACATTAGATACAACAAAAGCCATTCAGCTAACACAAAGTGCATTCTGTGAGGCATCCACCCTGACAGCTCAGCTCCCTCAGTGAAGGGCACTTTCAGAAGCACAGCAAGTAGAAATTCTCTGTCACTAACTTTCATAAACTATCTGACCCGCCATAACTCTCGGGAGCTCTTAAACAGCTTTGAAGCTGGAATAGTGATAAAGTTAAGACAACTCAGTCAATTACTTACTTTATTCTCCAGCTCTGCAACTACTGCATCCAGTATTATCTTGTGGTGAGCAAACACTAGGAATTTATCATTCCCACTTTCCAGTAACTCCAGTATGTATTCTCTACATGAAAGAGGAAAAAAAACCCAAACAAAAGTCTATAAATTATGTGCAATATAATAGTATGGGAATACAGGTTTTGCTCACAACAAATTTTAAAGATACTGCTCATGTATACACAGAAGCTAGGAAATAGGTTAGCATAAAACAAGTCGCACTAAAATTCAAGTCAAGCCTCCCTCAGATAAAAAAAGACATTGCAGGAAAATCCACTCATTTTTCTTCACTATGTCTGGACAGCTGCCTGCATTGATATTTCCATATCAATTTATTATATCCTACTGGAAACATGACATGCCAGACCAATCAGCTGGAGGTCATCTATACTTATTTTACAATCTCATTCACCCTTCTGTATTTCTAATTTGCACACAGCCACAATACACTAAGCTAATCTGTACACAATTATCCTTTCTACGTATGCTTAGGATTGTTTTTATAAGAAAAGGTCTCAATACATGCATCAGAGTATTCTAGAGGTAACTTTTCTTGCAAGGGTTCACACTGACAATTTACAGAGTTTAACAATCTAAATACATCAGTTATTTCTAGGAATTATCCATACGCATACAGGCCAACATCCAATGAAAGAGAACAAGACTCCTTTTAAACACAGTTAAACAGTGTTAATTAAATGAAAACATCTGGCTTTTGCCACGGACTAATAGCTGAGCTGAAGAACCCACTTCTATCTAGTAACTTGTGATACAATCAGGTCAACTGGAGTCTGAAAAGACACCTAAAAGCCTAAAAATTGTAACTAAGTATAGCAACAGCTATCAGAACAGACGATGCAAATGCCATCTTTTCTTTGGAATAGCAAAGTTGTTGTGAAGATCAGGAATACCAAGTTCTTTGCTAAATACAACACAGCTTAGGTCAGCAGCAACTGTCAGAAAACACCAAGCGGGAATTCCAGTGCTATATTAAGATGTATCAGTGCTTTGCAGACAGCTCCCAGGGTTCTGTGATGTTCAGATCCCAATTATCTGACAATATCATTTAACCAAGAAATCTGGGAGAGAAGTGGGATTGCTGGATTTTAAAGCAAAACAAATATCAAAGTGAAGATTCAGCATAGCAAGCAGATGCCAACACATTACAATTGTTTTATATCTTATTCTCATAATGTATTTAACAAATGGCTAGTCCTTTCAATGGGAGCAATGGAAGACACTGACATCATTTGAGGCCGCACCTCGAGTACTGTGTTCAGTTCTGGGCCCCTCACTATAAGAAGGATGTTGAGATTCTGGAGCGTGTTCAGAGAAGAGCCACAACGATGGTGAGGGCTCTGGAGAACAAGCCTTATGAGGAGCGGCTGAGGGAACTGGGCTTGTTTAGCCTGGAGAAGAGAAGGCTGAGGGGAGACCTCATCACCACCTACAACTGCCTCAAGGGAGGTTGTAGAGAGGTGGGTGCTGGTCTCTTCTCCCAGGTGATGGGGGATAGAACAAGGGGAAACGGCACCAAGCTGTGCCAAGGGAGGTTCAGGTTAGAGATAAGGAGGAAGTTCTTTACTGAGAGGGTCGTCAGAAGCTGGAACAGGCTGCGCAGGGAGGTGGTGGAGTCACCATCCCTGGATGTATTTAAAGAGCGGGTAGATGAGGTACTTAGGGATATGGTTTAGGGGGTAGACAGGAACGGTTGGACATGATGATCTCAGAGGTCTTTTCCAACCGAGCCATTCTGTGTGTGATCAAGGGAAAGACGTAGGAGGCGCTGATGATCACAGCACAGTACCATTAACTCGATGGTACTGTACATTAGCAGCTTATAATAAGTGGTATTTTAAATGCTACTAAACTCCAGAAAAAAAAATTTACTAGTTCCTACCAGAGAGTCAAGTAAACAGCACTTCATGGTTTTATATTCAGTTCACATTTGCAACTGAATATAAAAGGAAGAAAGTCTTCTAACTGTTCACTAACATAAAAGGAAGAAACTCTTCTACAGAAATGAGTGCTGGGACTCCGAAGTGCAGTTCTGTGCCAAACAGGCAGATTCTGCAGCAAGGTTTGAGACTGTGGAATCACACAGCACACATCAGCTGGTCCTTACATTCAGAGGGCTGTGAAAAAGTAAACTGTTTTCATGTTATTTGCATACTAGTTATTAAAAAGTCATGCTATATGACCTAAAATGACTCATTTGCAGTCTCAGCAAAAGGGTAAGAATGAAAGAGCATATAAAGTCACAGAAAGAAGTTATCCCTAGGGAAGATAGAGTGAAAAGCACACCTATGATAGAAAAACTTTTGCTACTGATGTCCCATGTGAGCTCTGTGGAAAAGCCATGAACTTCAGTAGAGGCTCTGACATCCTTAGAGCATGCTACGACTAAAGCTCCGTCCATCTCATAAGCTTTTTGGCTCAGGGTTCCTGCTGCAGCAAGACTGCAGCATTTGTTTTCTCAAATTTTGTTGATACTTTTAAGTTTCATTACTCCCCGATCCCTAAATTGAAATAGGGTTCAGAGCAGGGAACTTGATCCAAGTCCCAAACATCAACTAATTTTAGATGGTTCAAAAGACAATTTAGATCCATATCTGGAATGAAATCAGAAGACTTATTCAGCCTAGGAATTCCAAGAGAAACAAATGTTTAGTGCATTGTAATTAAAATCAATTTTTTTCTAAGCTGGCTTGAGGCTATTCTTTATGTCCCTGTGCTGTTATCTCTAAGGCACCATTTTCCAGTTCTCGGTGGAAAACCACATTTTACTGGGCAAGAATGAAGCAATGACACGCAGCTTACATGACTGAATGGATTTTAGCTTCTGCCGTTTTGCCGTAGAAGAGAAAAAGAGCTTCCCTCTCCTGTTGTTTCTGCAGAGAGAAAGATAAATAAGTGAGTCACAGACATGTCTTTTCTCCTTGCTTACAGATCTGGGATGTCTAAGGCTGCCAATAAACACTTTGCTAGGAAAAAAAAATCAGCCTAAAAATGCACAACAAAAGGGGACTGGACTGGGCATGGCAGATACTCACACACTCCTATTTCTGACACCTCCCTTCCTTCTTCCTACTCAACTCCTACAAGTTGGATGACAAGCATATCACACACAGTTTGAGTTGAGAAAGAATTCCCCAACTAAAATGGCAAGGAAAAACTCCTAAGTTATTACAGAACCGTATAGCAACCCAGGAGCCTAGAACATGCACTTGCCATCCATACAAGAGAAACAAACAAAAAAATACACTCTTCATATTTTAGGCTACTCCTCTGTTTACAACGCAGCTTTAACAAGGCTGTGTTTGTAGGGTGAATGGGACTACAAGGCAAGAAAGAAGAGGAAGCACAGAGGCAGGAGGTAAGAAAGACATTTAGAAAGGACTAAGGAGAGAAGAATAAAGAGAGGAAATACTATTTCAGACAGAGAGACTAAGTAGATCACATAAATAGTAAGGAAAAAAACCCCACCAAACTGTTTTGATTGTGTTGTACATTAATTTAAAACTGAAAACTAAATTAAACTAAAACTTAATTTCAACAGCCTTCCACTGTGCTTTCTACATGAAGTGTGGCTCTCGCCTTCCTCGGAACTCGGGGGTACTGTTTTTCCACTGATGTTCTTAAATAAAGGTACCTGAAATATCAATGGCTTATCATGAAAACAGTTTCTGACTTACACTTTTATATCCTTTGGCCATCTTCTTCGCTTCAGCTGCCAAGGCAGCTTTTGTCTTTGCATTAATGCCTTCAGGAGCCACCACAACCATTTTGCGTTGCTTTGCTGGAAGCTGGCAAAGCACATCTGATTTCAGGCGTCGGATCATGATGGATTCTTCCAACAAAATTTTAAGTTCAGTTAAGTTGGATGATCCAGAGTAGTCCCAGCCCCATGGCATCTGGGAAAGACCAAAGCAGTTATCAGCATCAAACTTACTAGAGACTGGTCTGCAGGCAATCCAAGAGAAGAGAAAACTTCCAGGGAAACTGGACAAGGCATGAACTTCATGGTCAGTAGGAAGGGAGATGTGACAAAAAATGGCAATAAGATAGAAGTGTACAAACCAATACATCCAACATGAGAAGGTTACTTATAAACTTCCCTTTTTCCTATCTGCAAGTGCTCAGGGAGGTGGAGGGAAGAGGACTACGCAGGCAGGTAGGGATCCCTACCACAGTACTGTGCCCTGGTATTCATCTTCACACAGCAAAGGCTTTCTGCTCTCTGCTTGCAGATTTGGACAGGCTGACAGAACTCACTGCAGTTCTGCAGACACACATCTACCCCACCTTTAAGCAGAAAGGGACACTAAAATCTTCTCTAATAGCACAAGGACAAACATCCTTAACCCAAATGCCTTTACAGAGATGTTACACTTGTCTGACATGCCTAGAAAACGCTAGGTCAAAATTGCCTGTTTTCTACTGTGACCTGTCTCTTGATCTGCTTCCTGACATACTGTGAGCCAAACGTGGTGATGGCAGAAATGGACTCAAGCAAACCATAAATAAATTGTGGCCCAAAATTCATCACTCCAAGCAGTGTCTCTTCAAAGCATCATCAGTTCAAAGCTCCTCTGAACAAACCCTTCATTTACTCCTCCTTGAAGCACTCGCTTCTGCATGTGCCATATCCTCCAAGATCCTGTATGCAGACAACACACACCTGTTCCATTAATTCCAGCTCATCACTTCTCCTACTGGTAACCCCACAGCCTATCATCTGTTCTCCAGAAAACAGCAACTAAGCTGACAAACTGTAGCATCAAAAATGGTACATTCACCAAAAGAAACATCTTTAAACAACTTTCTTTTGGAGAGGACACCTATAAGGTTTTTATGCTGAAGCAGAGGTTAAAGAGATACCTACCCTTCTGCTGAAGTTTCACAAATAAGATGAAATCTATGAGGTACAGCTACAGTAATACTGAAAACCAAGCCGGGGGAAGGGGAAATCTTCCTTACAGCTCTAATTCCAAGTCTTACTGGCAGTGCCAGCAATAAAAAAAGCCCAAAATACAACCTCTGGTCTTAGAGCAACCACCCAAAATAACCCCCTACGTATGTATGCATACACCCTACTGAAACGCATATAATGCAGATGTGAGGAGCCTCAGCATGAACCCCTTTGATCTGCTGCTCTACTCTTGTTGTGCCACATTAATTGCCAAAATAGATTTAACCTTAAGAATCTGTCTTTTAGTTGCCTTCCCCAAGAGAAGCCTGCTGAAACACAGAAAAGGAAGTGAAATAGAAAAAAGCTCCCAAGTATTCACTGCAGCCTCCATCCTCCTGTAGAATGCATGAGACAAAAAAAGTCATACCAGCCATAAGGTTAGTTGTGCTGCTGACTGCGTTAAGGGATGGTGCTTTGATGGGACAGGGATGAGAACATGCCATAAGACAAAAAGGAGGAATCAAACAGCTTATAGGCAATTAAGACCACTCTGAAATCTGAAAGTGAACATTCCTACCTCAGACTGAGACATAACAGGACAATCTGGAATGCTACTGCCATGTTGTACTGATGTGAACCACTAACTGACTAGAGATTCTGGCACTTATGCCCACCATCAAAACTCATTTTACTACTTCTACATAATCATGGTACCACCTGATTATCTACAGTTGGTTCATTAAAGCAGGGAGTGATTCAAACTCTAGACACAAAGCCAGTTTGGCTCCTGTAGAGTTAAAACCTTGGCTCTGACAACAGCACACTGGTATACAGCTAGAGGTAGTAAGCCCACCTGAATCTAAGCCAAGCCCTCCAAAAGCCAACATGGCTATTACTGCTTTGCTTTCCTGAAAGCAGGAGTGCAATGCAGACATCCCTCAGGTCCATGAAATGCTGGCTCAAGTCTAGCTGGGTTTGTTAGCTTTAGGCCTGCTGCACGACAGCTGACAGTGCTGAGCTCCAGACTTCATGCCCCCTTTCTGCGTTCCTTCAGGCTCTGCAGACCCAGCAGAGCAGATGCAGAGAACCAAGAAGGACTCACCTGGTGCTGCACCCAGTCTCATAAGCCCTCTGCCCATGCTGCTCCACACTGGTAGCTAAGGAGCAAGGATCAATGCTGACTACGCTGCTAAGCAAGACCTGCTACAGGGCCTGGACACTCTCCTCAGGCTACCTCATTCTACATGTGCAGCCAATGTTTTCCCCACTTTCCACTTCCATAAAAAGCAAGTAATATATATGTTTTGTCTCCACATAGCACAATCCATTTCAGAAGAGTAACACAATCATAACTGAAAGAACAAGGCACAGAGCCAATACACTATCTACTGTCATATTAAACAGCCCATACAGGCAGAATCCCTACAGTATATTCAGATTAATTTTTTTTTTTTTTTATGGTGACTGATGCTGGAACAATTTGCAAACAGGGAAACATCAGTTCTGTGTTGCACCTAGCTAGTGATAAAAAACATTATTAAAATATAGTTTCATAACCTATTGTGGAAAAGAAGATAGAGGGGAAAAAAGAGGGGCATTTATTTTGCCAAAATACACATCTGGCTTTGATCCATAACATTCCAGAACAAATGCTTCCAACTGATTTTCTTACCGAAGTGTTACAGCATCTTACATGAGTCAGTAAACTTATTACAGCGTTAGCAGAAGCTGCCAAACTCTTACGAATTCAGAGCATGTGCTCAGATAGAAATTATTTAATATTTGCCAACATCACCCAGTTTGAAAAATGAATTCACAGCATGTATTTTGGGAAACAGACTCGAGATATTTTGTAAATAAGCAGGTGACATTTCACTTGCTGCATTTTTAAGAGTACAGATGCTGGGAGGCTGAATTACAAAATGATAAACTTTTATTTTACATCTTTTCTAATCACATCTGTCAGAGATTTGCAATGTTCTGTCATAAGATCTGTTATCTTCAAATAGAAACTAGTCAGGTTTTAGTTTTAAATTGAATGGTTCTGGTTTGTAAAGTTTTCTTTTTTTATTATTAATACCAAAACATCTTTACAGAGCACCTTTCGTCCTGACAGATCTCCAAAAGCCCTGCAAAACCTCTCTGGTTCTGTGCAGTTCCATCCCCACTCGTAATGCTGCCGCTTTCAGGACAAAAAGAACCTATTTAAGTAATGACAGCAAAAGTACCACAACAGTTCTTCAGAGAGGATGTAACTCCTAACACAATCTCAGGTTAGAGCTGCAAAAAGGAACATGAGGAACATGCTACAGTCAGGAGGGAACGACCACAGTCATCAAAACACCTTTTAATCTACTCATTGCTGAGTGGATCTATGGCAACCCAGTATTCAGCAGTAGCGTGTTTTCCTCTAACACTACCCATATCTCCATCTCCAGCAGCCTGACTTCTTCTCTAAATAACCAAGTTCTTTATAGGTTCACTCCAGCATTTACTGACATTAACTGTAGCAAAATGTCCCAAGTGAGCACTGAGAAGACCAGTAATGTTCAACTGTCTAGCAGAGGCAGGTCAAACAGAGCAACAAAATTGTGCTAGAAACCCCGCAGACGTTTTGAAGGGAAGCTGATACAGACTGCGACCTCCATGCTGAGTTTCACAGGTAGAAAACTCATTTGCACAGAATACACTGTTACAACCTGGACTGTCCAAAAAATTTATTTCTTTTATCCAATTCAACATCTTATCTCAGGTCCACATGCCTCATAACTGAAACAGCAGCTAGTCATGCAGAACTTTACCCTCAAAGGGTTTATGAAACTCCAAACCTATTTACGCTCACACGTTGAAATTCAACTTCCCTTTTTACTGCAGAAAACCAATGAGACTAAACTGCATCTCTTCATTTCCCTCTAGGAAGAATTCTGGACACTGCTCAGGCAGGAATCTTTCAACAGAAATAATGAAGATGTGGCCCTCTCCCTCCATGATTCCTACTATGGATGGTGAAACAGTAAGTTTATCCTCTGCCAGGAAGGCAGTGCTCTGCTAACATGAATGCTGTCATCTTCCAGAACTCAAGCTTTGTGTCTGTGATTCTGCATGCTAAATGGCCTTACTTTAATCAATGGCATCAGCATGAGTACCAAAGCCAATTAACTGACCATTTATCTTGCACATGTGGACCTACATGGAACAGCACTACACTAGCTGTGAAAGCAGAAGTGGGCATTCAGATCCAGGAAAAAGGGGACTTGAGAACTTCATATGAGACTGAAATATGTTTCTTCTTGATGGAAGCTTGGCATATGTTAGCTACCCAAAACAGAGAAAACAAACACAGAAGCCCTACAAATTAGGCCTGTAACTATTTTTATGGCATACAGTGATGATGTTCAGTTCTTCTGTAAATATTTTTGAGCACTGACGGGGTCATTTGATGTTTCCAAACACTCTGCTGAAAGTTACTGCCCAGTTTCACAGAAAATAAGCTACAAGAAGCTAAACTGATTACTTGAGAACAAAAGCAAAGCAAGCAAGTTCATGCACTGCAGGTCCACATTCACACCGCAAAGCCATTCTGTGCCACATGCTAACTGCTACACGCTTGTCCTGGAGGAACTGGAGAGCAAGCCAGCTTAGAGGGCTCTTGTTCCAAATCAGAACTCAGGGGAACTTTGGTTCCCCTTTTCATGTCTACACAGGCAGCACAGAAGATGCTAGAGCCTCCCTGTAAAACAGGCAGCAGCGAGAGCTCTTCTCAGCAGTGTGTTTCAACACACACAGCAGCTCTAGAGATGGCAAATCCAAGCACAGCTGAGTTGCCCAACCCTTAAGAGCAAGGCAGACACCTGCCATCGTGCTGGCTTCCTGCAAAGCCAGTCCCTTGCAGTGGATGGACTCAGTGACTCTGCAGAATCCACTGCTGAGCAGATGGCAGAGATAAGAGAAGTTAATTTATTTCAAGATATGCTGAGGACCACATCTATTTCCTGAATTAGAAGAAGATGGAATACAAGGACTGACTGTAAGTCTTCATTTTTTACTTACCTGGAGATAGAAGAAAAATAAAATCAAAAATCTCAAGCAACAGAGGTCTGTCTTTGTCAGAAAAGCAGTCCTACTTACAGTCACTAAAGCAGAACAGAAACTCATTTTTGGGGGGTTTTTTTATTCAATTAGGCCAAACCTGCAGCTGCTTAAAGGCCCCATAGTTACCCTGCCTATTTAAAACACTCTAGGGGAAGTTCTTGTTAGAATAGGCTCCTTTCCCTAGTCACGGCAATTTTATTTTATTTTTTAAGTTTTTTTTTTTTTACTTCCATGGCTTTCAGGGTAGATTTTCACAAGATGCATTACTGCCTTCAAGTCTTAGGCCCCCCAGAGCAGTACCTAGAGCTTCTCAGGTTAAGAACTTTCAAAATGTTACTCTGGAGTGAGACTCTCTCAAAAAAAGACGATGTAACATCGAAGAGAAGGAAGGAAAGACAAAGCCCTCACATTTTGAAAAAAATAAAATAAAATGCTGTTTGCAGAGTCCCAGCCTGCCACTTCTCCCCCTGAAGTACCTTCCTGGCATCACAGTAGCGTAGCCCAAAGGAGTGGAACTGTGGGAAGAAGGCTGGCTGGACAGCCGCGATCTGCGTGTAGAGCTCCATGGGCCGCGACATGGCGGGGGTTCCCGAAAGCAAGATCACTCTCCTGGCAGCCTGGGAAAACAAGATGGACCATAGTTATCATACAGCTTACAATATAAGCTGAGCCTGCTAAGAAGTCATCCCCAGTCCCCAAAGAAAATCGCAGAGCTATTGTCCAAGCACCCTAAGTGGAAGACTGCTTCACCTTCCACAGAGACTTTCAGTCTTCACTGCCTGAAGACACTAAAGGACAGTGCTTAAAACTTCTAGGAAGCAGGAGAATTCATATTGTTTCTTATTCATCATCCACATACTGTACGGGAAGGGGACATCAATTTTTATGACAGGACTTTCTGAATTGGCATTTGCCCAGTAGACACGTTAATGTGCTATCCCTGGCTCAACACTGCACTTGCTATCAGATGTCATAGGAAAATGACACCTCTCAGGTACATCCTCACCTCCAAAATAAATTCTTTTCTAATAAATCTGCCACAGCAAGCCATAAACAGACTGTCTTCCTCACAAAAGCAGAAAAGATCCTGAGAAAGCAGGATTTTTTAATTTTTTGTTTATTTTTTAAAATTCCACTAGCAAGGAGAGAATGATGAAGCTGCCTGAAGCAGGACCTGAAGAGGCCCACCTGAAAGGTGTTACATCTAGGCACAGCAGGCTGGATGCTAGAACATGAATTAATAACTACGAGTCATGTAAGAATATTGTAAAACGTGTTGCATGGAAGACAGGAAGGGGGTGGGGTGGGACACCTGCATCTAAAGTAGGTCCTCCCAAAAAGTGGGGAAAAAGAATTGCACTATAGACATAAAACCCTCCAAGATGTATTTCTACCCTCATACCTCCATTATTATTTAATTCTATTATTAGATGAGAGCTATGAGTTTCTACTGTTGTAAATTCACATATAGTAGTTAAATTACAAGCGCCTTGTAATTTCCTGCATGACTTAATGCAGATTCATTAAAATCACAGAGATTCTTGAGTGACATCTGTACCAACAGCTCATTCACATTTAAATGAAAAAGAAAATGAATTTTTTTTTATCGTTTCACTGAGATCTACCGCTCACCCAAATCTATTCAGCTGATTCATCCACTCACCAGCCAAATGTGGCAGAAAAAGAGTTCACAGATCAGCTACCGGAAATTAATTTCAGGACTCTTTATCAGATACTTATATATAGGTTGTAATCAAGGTGGGACTTGCCTTCTCCCTCCATCCCTATTAAACCCATCAGAAGGAAATGTGATCACCATCAGGAGCAGACAACTCCACAAACATTTTAAAAAGCAGGATATTTACCGAATGAAGTTAGAGGAGAGGTCAAACCTTTGGACAGGAGAGAGTAAGTTTGCACAAGACAAGGGTGCCTATGCGACTCAAGAGGGAGAAGTCACAGAGGCCAAAGAGATGAGATCTCTTGAGGAACAAACTGATAAAGCAGAAATTAGGTCAGTTTTTTAAATTAAGGTAACAGTGGAAGACAACTGAGCAGAACCTAAACAGTATCTGATGCCTTGCAAAAACCTTTGAAGAATAAACTGACACCACCCTGAGAAATCTCCTGAAACAAGACAAGCCAGTCCCTCATGTGCAAGAAACCTCCAAATTAAAGTTTTTCCTCCTGGACTAATAACACGGAGGTCATGCACAATTACAGACAGCTCCTTTCAAATAACTCTGGATAAAGCTAAAGCAGGAAAAGTTCACTCAAAACAGATCAGGGGCGTATTAAATGCAACAGAAACCCAAATGTGTTGAAAGGTTTTATGCCATTCTTAAGGCTCCCCTCTTTGGAGAAAGCTCCTCAGGAGCTACGTGAGGTGAGGGTGGAACACTAATTTGCCAGCAGTCAAAACAATAACAAAAAAACCCAAACCCAAAAGACACTATCTCCACAACTGCTGTGAAGAACTTGAAGAAATTAATTCCAGAAAATTCTGTGGAACATAGGTGGTCTAACCCGGTATCCCAAGGGTCTCTTTTCAGTTTTAAAATCCATGACAGAAGGAGCCCAGGAGAGAAAAACAAAAAAAAATCCTAGGAAGACGAGAGTAGAAGGCTTGGTAAATTCTGGATGAAAGAAACCGCTTTGATTCACATCTTTCTAGTGGCAACTCATTTTGAATTGATGCCAATGAAGATTTGCTCCTGCAGAGAAGTCTCTGCTGATCACAGAATCACAGAATCACAGAACGTTAGGGATTGGAAGGGACCTCAAAAGATCATCTAGTCCAACCCCCCTGCCGGAGCAGGAACACCCAGATGAGGTTGCACAGGAAGGCGTCCAGGCGGGTTTTGAATGTCTCCAGAGAAGGAGACTCCACAACCTCTCTGGGCAGCCTGTTCCAGTGCTCTGTCACCCTCACTGAGAAGAAGTTTCTTCTCAAATTTCAGTGGAACCTCCTGTGTTCCAGCTTGTGCCCATTACCCCTTGTCCTATCATTGTTTGTCACCGAGAAGAGCCTGGCTCCATCCTCGTGACACTCACCCTTTAAATATTTATAAACTTGAATGAGGTCTCCCCTCAGTCTCCTCTTCTGCAAACTAAAGAGACCCAGCTCCCTCAGCCGCTCCTCATCAGGGAGATGCTCCACTCCCTTGATCATCTTTGTAGCCCTACGCTGGACTCTCTCCAGCAGTTCCCTGTCCTTCTTGAACTGAGGGGCCCAGAACTGGACGCAATATTCCAGATGAACTGCATAATTACTGTTTCCTGATGAACCTTCTGTGCTGTCAAGACTGAGAGCTTACCCTCTTTCTTCTGAGTTCTGGAAGAATAGTACAGAACAGCACAGAAAATAAGATTGCAGTGACCAGCAAGGACCTTCTAGCAAAAACAGATCTGTAATTAAATATATACATATTTCCACTTAAGAGAACTAACATTAGCTGACTATTAGCATTTAGGCATGAAGTTTAATCTTCCCCAGAAGCACTCCTCTCTCTCATATGTCCTTGTGACTGTTCTTACAGCTACTTGCTTGTGACATTGCTTAAGGGAACTCTGACAATGACTTGACTAGTGGAGACCTGTTCTGTAGCCCCCATTTTCTAAGTAACATAAGGCAATTGTCGCTCTGCAGTATTACAGCTGCACACACAAGACACCAGCAAGAACTAATTCCACAGCTGTGACAATTTACAAAAGTCACTTTTCAAAGTCAAAGAATAATTTATGAAATAGTAACCCCCAGGGGCAAGTACCTTAGAGGTCAAAACCCAGCACCCAACTAATTCGAAGGCGAGTAGGTGAGACGGGGGGTTATGCCACAGAGAAATAATTGAACATGCAAAGAGCCTCATTAACATACGATGACTGTCTCTGTTTTAAATGAATTTCACAGCATGAGCTCTGGCATATGCTAACAGGCTGACATAACTTTTTAAAATAAGTGTGGCTGGTTCTGATACAATTACTTGTGTCCCCGGTTTTTGCTTACTCTGTCATTTTGAACTGCTTAGCATAAGAATACCTTATCCTGTGAAATGAAAAATCTGAGAGTGGTCATAATATAACAGAGATAATCACCTGATGAAATAGAAGATCTGATAAAGGGGAAGGGTTGCAGCTGTTTTGAGGAGTCTGTTTCTGTACTTGGGTAAGATAGATAGCACTCCCCCACTTCAAAAGATGATTCTACAGTGGTTATTCAAAAAAATGTAAATGCTTTTCCCCATTCGTAAGTGACCTCTAGACAGAAAACATGTGTCAAATAACAACGACCAGTGTGACCGAAACAAGTCACTACCAACCTACTCTGCGGAGGAAGGAAAGAGCAGATCTGAAGATACAGCCTCGAGAGCTCACAGCCTCTCCGATTTCAAGATAAAGTTCCTTTTCTCAGCAGGCAGCAACAAGCAAAGGCTTATTATCCAATCTATATGGATCTATAATGCCTAAAGTCATCTGCTATTTATTTCTCACTGGAAATGGAGATTTTCGTGTTCCCTCCTCACCTTCTACCCTCAGCGCTGACCTATTTCCCTCTATTATTTTTAAGCATCTCTTTATTAAAAGAAGTGCAAAGAATATTAGATTCCAGCCACACAATGTATTTGGACTTCCATAATAGAAACTAAGACCTTTAACTCTGCAAACACCAGGATGTGTATTGTGCTATTAACCTGAACAGCAGCTCAATAGGAACAATCCCATTAGTAGTATTACCTAAATGTTGTGGAACAAAGCCCATAGGGAGCACAACAGTAATAGGACCATGTTATGCCACAGGAATATTTTATTAGGTACTGCTCTTTCTTTCTCAGTTTGTAACCCAGTTCTCCACTAAAAAAATAGCATTATGCTTCCAAAAAACTCATGCATGTTCCGCTGAGACCCTCAGTTTCCATGCCCTTGCAGCACTCCATGCAATTACAGAAGAACAAAGACCATGCAGCACTTTGGCTGGTCAAAGGATGTAGAACCCTCTTCACTCCAGTTCCCAAGAGAAACACTTCTGTTTCGTTGTTTTTTCTTCATCTACCCTAGGGCTTTGCTGTTTTATGGATATGGGTAGGATGTATACTCCCTCTCCTATGTTCATGTGTGGGCCAGTCTAATCTTGGAAGGAAAAAAACCAAAATGCTTACAAAAGGTGTAACACCACGACACTTCTGCCTCTGACAAAGCAGATGCAGGGCAGAGGCAAGGGGAACAACCAGTATTGTCAGTACAGGTCTGGACTAGGGGCAGGGACAAGCCAGACCTGACAATGGTGACTCAATCAAAAAGCCCAACAGTATGAGTTTATTATCACTCTGATGCACCTGGAAATAAGAAAAAAGGACAACTCTGAACAGAGGAACTTCTAGCCCTCTGGAGTCCCCTAAGAGATGCTGAAGCTGGGGACAGGTCTCATGCAGCTTCTGGCACAGACCAGCCAATGTGAAAGCTGGCTGACCGTGAAAGACAGACTTTTACCACATAGCAAACATCAAAGGACTGTTTTCTACTATGGCTTTCAATCCATCCGTCCTCATAATTTTGCAGGGATGCACACAGACTGTGTGCAAACTGTGCCACCTGGTTCCAGGCAGACGAAGCATTCTCCCCCATGTATAAGTCTGCACACCCACAAGTTTGCACATCCACTGTGAATGTGAAAAGAGTAAGAGATCTGGCCTAAACATTTTGCTGCTGCTATTTCAGCTCACCTTATCTTACTATTTGTGTATAAATGCCTCTCAAAGTTTTGTCCTGTAACAATAAATTGGGCACAACATGTCTATATACTTACTCCAAACTAATGACAAACCAGTGCAAGCTACCAGCTAGCGAGCATGGTCATTGCATACATCCAGCCATTATAAAAATGCACTAAGAAGTCTTTCTGGTCATGCTTCCCACTGCCTCAACCAGAACTTCCCTAAATCTCTGTTAGGGTAGCAGTTAAGCACATCAAAAGATAATGAATGCTGCACACACCAAATACTGCGCACATACAGAGTTTGTGGCTTTTTTTTAATATTGAAAACATATCTAGAAGTTCCCAACTGACGAACTTAGGCTGCATGTTTAATACGTGGCTCTGCACGACAATTCCACACCACCCTTGGTCCACAATATATAGAGGAAAGCAGGAAAAGATGAATTATTACTGAATGCCTAAAAATACCACTTCATTTTGAAAACTGGTCAATGTCAGTTATTAAAACTAAAATGAGGCTTTAAATGCTGAAACCACGGGTTAAATATTTCAGAGGTGGAGATTCAGCTTGGCTGTCTAACAAGGCAGATTCAAAATTAATATCCAAGGTAAGTCATCTTTATTATGAATATACTGATGTGATCTGATTATTGTGCAGTTCTGTCTAAACAGCCACAACAATTTTTGTATTTTACTTATTATTCAAATGGTTAAGTCACAGGAACAGATTTTGTCAAGATACAAAGAACCCATTAAGTACGGATGGAAGCAACAGAAACATTTCAGGCTCACAAACACTTTAACTTAGATCTGTCTACTGTCATTATGGACTCATAAATCTTCGTAGCCTGTAAGGACCAAGGATCGCATTTCTTAGGTGTTTGGGTTTTTTTATTTTCTGTACCCAAAAGGCAGTTCAAGGCTAAGGTTTCCTGCTTTAGGACATTATGAACCTTGTTGGAAATACAAACAAGTATGGTAATTTCAGAAGGGTTTAAAGTAGTAAAATGCTAACAGCAGTTAGAAGTGGCAATGCTTAGAAAGTAAACAAGGTTCACGTTGGCTACAGGGGCTCTGGTACCGCTTCACACTGTGACCCCGTGGTAGGGACTGAGCTGCTAGAAGCAGTGTACCTATGGCTACACCCCTTTTGGTCTCTCATAAAGCCCCAGTACTGCTCTAATCCTTTTAGCAGAAAGGCAAGAGAAAGGATGTTATCCTCAGCAGCATGATTATCAATGCCTCTCACACAATCTCGAAGAATCATGTAAAATACTGAAAATACTCCCATTTTTACCCTGTTGACTAGTTACTATAAAGATGACATGGTATAGTTGTTAAATCCAGTTCTTTCAAACACAAAAGCGTTGCTGTGATGTGCCATGCCAGTCGTGAGCACAGCATCGCTCACTGGGAGCCAAAGACAAAGCTGCCAAAGGGGCTAGTTTTAAAGCAAAGCGCTTGCATTGGAAAGCAGGAGGGCAGAAGAGTGGCTATTGCAGCAAATACTCGCTTCAGAATTTATGGACAACAAGCAGCAGAGTAAAATTTACCTGAGCATCTTAACATGAAACATCTGGTACTGTATACTGTTTGCAGGTGAGATAATGTATGATATGAACATGAAACTCTTAACGCTTTCAGAAGACTGAAATTCAGTTTCAGAAGCAGCAGTTCTCAATGCTCCAAGACCAATGATATGACAGCATAAAACTGTAAAATCTCAGTAAGTTCACACAGGCAATTAACCTCCGCTTAACAGCTGCCATCTTTCACTCTCATATCTTGCAGCCTGCAAATAATTTTGACAAGCTGACTGTTACAAAGCTACAAGTAGGAAAGGATAAGACCACTTTTACAGCATTGTGCAATTAGATATATTTGTTATTTTCCACCATTTTCAGACATACACTCTAATTATTGTACTTCAAACTGCTCATAAAATTGGACCTCCTACTTAGTTTACAAACATTAAAAGCCTGAAGTGATTTGAAAGGCAAGAGAAGACAAGAGTCAGGCCTTTAAAGAGAACAATGAAGTTATTCAAGGACAACCACCTTTGGCTTGCCATTAAGAATCTAGTATATAAAAGTTGGTTGCTATAAAGCCATCACAGTTCAAATCATCTCTATATAAACACTTGCTGATAATTGCTGAAAAGGAACTGCATTACCTTGTTCTAATGTACATACAGTGTCTAGAAACTACTCATAACTTTAATCTGCTAGAGGCTACCAGGGAGAGTTTGTTTCTTTGATTCCAGGACAATAGGCAGACAAAATTTAGATTTATCCTGCTGTCAGATACTCCTTTCTGTGGGCCATGTGTCTTGCTAACCTCACATTCTGCCATTTCCTACTACTTCTGTACATTTAACTGGCAAGAGCGCTCCTGAACTCCAGACACACAAATACATTGGAAGCTTGCAGTAAGAGAGTAGAACCCAAAACCAAGGAAGGGACTTAGGTAATGTCATTTTTATATACAGCAGTGATTTGTGTGCCAAAAAGTAACTGATAAAAATTATATCCATTGAACAATTTAAGCCTCCACTACTATATTCTTTCTACTCTCCCTGAATACATTCAGTTAGTTTTGACATTTCCTTTTTCCCCATCACCATAAAACTCACCAGTGGCAGTACCACAATTGGATCAAGGATGCTTCTGAAGTTCTTCTGTTAGGTCTTACCATCTAACATTTGTATGGAAACAAGCGACTAAGCCAAAGACAAATTTTGCTCTTGGATCTACATTACTGGATTTCCATGTGCACAACAACAGAATTCAGCTGCTGGCTTCCAGACCTGGCAAATGGAGGAACCCTGCTTTGGGAGCCTGATCTTAGCTGCTGGAGGTTAGGCACCCAGTGTACGCACCTTGAGTAGAGGCATGGCAGCTCGGCATCGAGCAGTTTTTATGTTCTTTAGGAAATGAGATTCATCCTGAAACAAAACAAGCATGAAAGTGAAGATAGTTCTGATCCACAGTCTAACTGCAGGCTACAGAACAAATTCCCAATATTCTCAGCTATCTAATATTAAAAGTCTACCATCCCAGAGGATATTTCAAGCATTAGGATAGTCACATCAAATTCTTAACGAAAAGACAGCATGCAGCGTAGCAGGCTTCCTGTATTTTAATAGGCAGCTGCAAGCAAATGGAACAGAAATCAAACCTTAAAGCCACAAAACTCAAATGACTGCAAACAAGTTAGCAGAGGGGGCTGGAGAGGGGAGGAGAAAGAGGAACATTATTTCCACCACTGATACTCATTTGCCCCCATGTGTCCTTTAAATGCAGCAAACACAGGAGGCCTATACAGTGCCACTTCCCTAAATAATGGGTTAATGAAAATGATAAGGAAAAAAAAGAAATCTAATTAGCATCCAACTGCTCCACTGATAGGGCTCACCAGGTGGATAATAGCCTCCTACTTGAGACATCACCCCCAAACAAGCTTCATTTCTACTGCTGTAGCAAGGCAGAACTTGAGACACCAAAAGTAATTGGCGCCCTCCAAGGCTACATTCTCATCTTTCCACGTCTGGATGAGCAAGCAAGCATGCATGCAAAGACAATACAACTGCTTAGCCTTTCAGGCATAGCCTTATCCTGCCTGATTAACAAATAAGCTACATTAATGTTCCTAGCCATCAAAAGAAGATTGGAAGAAAAAGCAAGGAGTACCAGCACTCAGCAGGACTACTCTCATCTGTTAAAACATATACAGGGTCCAAATTTGAACATATAAACACACAAGGAACATCTGCCAGCTCAGTACTGGTAAAAAGTCCCAGGGCAGTAGCCCTAGAACCCAAATCCCTTCACCTCAGACACCAGCACACAAAAGCACCAATCTGCATTTCCACCCTGACAATGTCTTGTCAGAGAAGGGGCAGGGGGTGAAAAATAATCAAATCCCCCATGAGTAGTTTGGCCTCCAAGTAACTTCATCTATTCCTATGTTCCCATCTGATGCTGACAAACAAAAGGATTTTTGTGTTCCAGTTGCCATGATCTTAAGGACGGGTGCACGTGCGTGCTGAAAACTGGACTGAGAACATCAAACACTCATAGTAAGCTACGAAGACACTTTTGGTCTCTACTAATTCAAGCAGGATTTGAAACACCAGATGTTTTGAATTTTTTAGTAACTGAAATATAGAAAAATGCTTTTTACCACAGCTCTGTAAAAGGTTAAAAATTGCTTTCAATGTAATTTACAAAAGAAATGATGCAAGGGATCAAAGAAGGCTTAATGCAGATTGTCAGTGGAACAGAAGCAAAGGGAGATTTTTTGATGCTTTCCCCACGTATTTGATGTTGAGAGGTTATCTAGCTTACTGGATAAACACTGACAGCACCCTGAAGTCCAATCGCCTTAAAAAGATACAGTTTCAAGACTTGTATTGACACACCACATTAAACACTGCTCTCCAGCAGAGGACATGCCCAAACGCAACAAAATCAGAGAGGCACCATAACCAGTAAAACAGAAAACAGTCTGAGGAGTCAAAAAGGAAATAAGCTCCACTAGTTCTCTCAAAAGGTTCCAGAGAAACCTCCTGCTTCTACTCATGAAGAAAGCAGTGAGCACAATCACAATCACAAGATAGTTTCAGTCCTAAATAAGGCCCACTTCACACTTCTCTGCTGCACAATGGAGCATACTTCAAAATTTTAGTGTCTCACTTACAATAATAACTACTTGGAAAGTGCTCTTAAGTTGCTTGACCATCTTGCTGAGGAGGTCAAAGCTGACAATGTTGATCAAGCTTGCTGTTAGGTTGTCTTTGCCGGTCACTATGACATTGGTGCTATCTGGACTTAAGGATGGAAGCCACCTGTGAAATGCCTGGAGGAAGAGGAAAGGGATTAATTGCATTCTGGTGCTTATGTTCTCAGTTGGCATCCCAAAGCACTTCGCACAGCATCCTCATGAACGTGCAGCCACCTCACCTGCCACTAGACATCACCTGGGGACACAGTAAGTGTAAGCAGCTTTCCCAAGGCAACAACCCTAGTAATGGAAAGAAAGATCAAGAACAGAACTCACAGGCCTTAGCCACACCTACCTTCCACAGCTAGGAAGGCTCAAACATGCTCTATTCTTGCTTCTTACTGAAAAAAAAAAGTATCTGATCTGTAGTTGAAAGGTGCATAACCTCCTGACAATGTTACATGCTATGCTCAGAGCCAGAGAATGCAGTGACCACTACTGACAGGGAAATTTAGTTTTCCCACTCAACAGGAAACCTCAGGCTGTGAAATACAGACTTCTAAGCAGTAAACACCTCTCATAGCAACGTTTACTCTAAAGTGAGGATGAAGTACAACTCACCCAGATCAACAAGAATTCTTCCACTACCTTTCCTTCTTAAAAAGTCTACAGAAAAAAACCCAAACAAAATGAAAAGATCAAGCTGACAACACACCAGCTGCTCTATGACAGCAGCCGAAATATATGTGGTGATAGTCATTCAAATCAACCTCCTGAAATGCTCCACACACCAGAGCAAGATATCCTCCCCCAAACCCATCTGTTAGCTACTAAGCACCCACCATTTCCCTTGTAATTGTGTCCCCAGTGACACCAACTTCTCTGCAACATTTGCGTTCTGCTGATGTTGCTCTGCAGAGATCGGGCTGGGGCTTTACCAGTCAGGATCTGGTCCTTACAGAAACGTACCCAAGGAGCCATGATGAGAAATGGCATCTCTGCCTCTTGGCCCTTCACTTGTGAAGTCCTCCAAGCACCTTTCCTCTCCTCTATTCAGCAATGCAGCAGCTCGAGAAGTTAAATGTGAGCTTCTCACATTTCTCAGTATGTGAGAAACTACCAATGAACTGTCCTTCACCACAGACGGTAAACACCACAACCAAAATGGGCCAACGTGCGGGCAAGGATAGATCACAACCAAAAAGTACATAGCTGACACTAAGCCAAAACTTAAACAAAGGTAGGAAAGCATCTTGAAGCTCCCAGCTGTACAGAAGCCATGGATTCAGGTTAGGGGTTGACCCAGAGGCCGACAGGCCTTTGAAATACCAAACATGATGAACATCACTCCCTTGTTCAATAAACAATTTTCTTGTCGCCCAACATTCTGTTGCACTACTGGACATGAAAACAGAAACCAAGATGCTCTAACCACCTGATTACAGCACAAAACCAGCAAATTCCAACCAATACCCCTTTAATCAATGCAACACTTCAGGGAAAGTTAAGCTCCCACCCTGTCCTGCTCAGGCATGAAATTATTGACCTAAAACCTCTGGCTCACCTTTTCTCCCACAGTGAACATTCCACTAGCCTATGGCAACCCAACAGTCTCGGCACACAAGCCGTGACAATGATTTATTTCAAGATCCATTTCCCAGCCATACAAGCTTTCTTGGGCTTCTGGTCAACATGAATAAAGGACTTGGAGGAGTGAGCAGCATACAGTGGACAGGCCAAAAGATGTATTGTGACAAACACAATAATTATAACGGGGCCTCTTGAACAGAATGGAGAATCCCAGCATCTGGGCTTCTATTCCAGCCAAGGAACCTGCAAATATTACTATGAAGGGCTTGAATACAACAGCTAATTGCTGGAATGCAAGTATTGTCTTTGACACTGATGAGTAAAACACCCCCTTGGAGCCAGCTGACTTGGAGGAGCAAAGTTAACAGAGGGTCAGAGATGATGTTTACTCTAGATCTCCCTCTTTCCAATAGATGAGCTGGACCACAAAAAGAAAACTGGCCAATAAAAGAAAATAGGCATATGTGATACAGTCAGTGCCAAGCAATTTCTGCCAATGAAGTTATTAAATGAGTACAATTTTAGTTTCTTCCCCTTAATATACATCTCTTAAAAATTTTAACTTGTACAGAGGGCAACACAGCATAACCATCACACATGCCCTGCACGAGCCACCTGCACACAGTCAAGCTCACAGTACCTCTGCCCATGTAAACCTCACAGAAGAAGGAGTCACCACCAGCAAGGGCCATTCCTTTCGGTAATACGCAGCGATGCAGATCGCCTGGATGGTCTTGCCCAAGCCCATGTCATCCGCAAGAAGCAAACGTCCATTTCTTAAAATTGCAAAACTGGGGAAAATACAGAGGGGAAATAAGTAAGAGTCAAGAAATGGGTTACTTATCTGTCCTGGCAGCCAGGATGAGCACAACTCATCACCAAGCCTATAATGTGGATCACCTGGCAGTGATGTGGGTTTAGTAAACCTGGATCTTCTCCCTTAGTCCTAACACAAGTGAGCAACTTTCACATATCTCTCAAAGCTTGGAAGCTCCAAAAGAGAGTGGTTCAGCCCAGTCTTTAGACACTCTGATTTCATATCAGGAGTGGTCTTCAAGGCCTTACAAATAAAGCACATTCTTTCCATAATACTACTCACATTCTGTCCTAAGAAAACATTAATAACAATGCCACTTTAACACCAGTAAGTACAAACTTTCCTGGATTGCATCTTGAAGTCAACAACTAATGACTACCTATCATGGGGACAGGGTTTATCTCTACATGCAGTTAGTCATTTTAAATCTTTCAGGGCCTGGATCCCATTTCCTGGCACTTTCCCATGTACAGTTAATATTTTAAAACTAACAATAAAAGAGATGCATTTGAAAAAAAAATGACCTTACAAAACAAAAAAATATCATATGACAATTAGGCACATACTGAATCACAAGAGGGAGATCAGAGATGTATCATTTGAACAATTTTATAAGACTAGCAAGATGCTACTTTCCTCTTGACTCATGATGAAGAATTCCAGCTGGAAACAAACAGATGTGTCACTCAAAAAAAAAATCCACCAAAAAGAAATCAACAACAAACAATAAAGCAAACTATACCATCCCAAACAACCAAGAGCCCAAAGTGCCAGAGTGCAACAGCCCAAGACTCTGGAGAAATGTGGAGCCCTCCATGGAAAAGAATGCAGCCCGGGCACCAATCTAACACACACAATTCTAGGCAAGGACTAGCTCTTAACAGCATGCAAAAGTGACATACTTCACACCTTCCCGCTGAAAGGGCATGAGGCTCATCACAATTTTGGAGTCCACTGTTGAAAGGTCGGCATCAGGAATGTCTGCCTGTGCTGTAGATCTCTCTATTTGAGCAGCAAAGGTTTGTATCACTGCCTCAGGCAGCGGCTCCACTTCTACTGACACAAGGCTCTGTAACACTTCCACTGCAAAGAACAGAGCAGATTATTATCAGAAGGGGCAACATACACATGACTTACGTTATGTAACAACAATATTATTTCCTATCCTGAAACAGCTCAAGAAAGCACTGCATCATGCACAGATGTTGGCCTGGCCTCTTCCCTGAAGTCTATTTCAGAACCACATAATGAATCACATCTCCTCCCCTTGTATTTAGACTTTGTTATAAAAAACTGAGAGTCTGATGCCATCATTCAGAGATGACTGCTACTAATACAGCTGGAGCTGGATTATTCACACTGAGGGAAGCTTAGGGCACACTTTACTCAAACAAAAGTATAGATTTGAACAAAAGAGCTCCTGAAGCCTAAAAGGCAGGGGTATCTTTATCTTGACCCTGAGATTCTGCATTAAGTAACTGAGGTCTCCACCACCCCTGAGTGATCAGGGGTGTCCCAAGAGACATTTACCTAAACAAAATCATACATCTTCAGCTTTGAAAACTCTCTTCTTCTCCTGTTCCCCACATTCACACAGGTTTGGCTCTGTCTTTACTTTATCAGCTCTCATTTACCATGTTTGGATAAGAAAACAAGAAGCACCTCAAGACTCAGAGAAACTGCTCTTGTACCACTATCAGCAGCACTCCAACAGCCATCCTCCAGGGACGTGGTACCAACAGCAGCTCCCTGCCCAACCGGTCCCCATGGCTGTTCTGGACAGAAGTAGCGTGGGGGCCAGAAGCAGCCCACAGGCAGGCACTGGAGTCCCTCACCACTACTGCTGTTTCACCCATGAAGTCTCTCAACTTTATCTGCAGCATAAAACCATCCCAGTCAAACTAAAGGGATCCCCAGCCTCCATCATGTAAAGATGTAAAGACCCTGGGGCCCTCATCTTTTACAATCCATGCATCACAAGAAGCAAAGCATGAGGGCAATTCTCCTCCTATACAACCTTATTTCAGTCCCCTCCAGTAGCCTCTCTATCCCATCCCAAAAAGATAAAAGTATTCCTTTTCAGTCCAACAGCAAGTTTCTATGAAAATAAATACTAATTTAAAACATGGAGGGAGCTGGGACCAGGAAAACATGTTTAGTCATTAATCTTTGACCACTGACTGAGAAACAAAAGACACCTCTACAATAGGAACACAAATGCATGTGCACAGATCCTTTACTGCAGGGAGAATGATTTATTTTTTTTTTACTGGTTGGTTTGTATATGAAGTCAAGAAGACATAAAAAAAACTCTGTAAAAATAACCAGAGCTATGCAAACTGGAATAGGAACTCACGATACCAACAGCAGATGCCCCGCCAGAATTCTGTGAGGTATTTTCACTTGTTACCTCCAAGAGGAAAGCAGCAGGATGGACTCCTGCCATTTGAAGGGGGAAAGCTATTCCAATAAATACACATATGAAAAGATGGCCATTTGTGGTTGGGCAATGACCAAACTTTTCAAACTCTCCAGTTTAATTTATACTTCTTCAACAGCAGGAACTCTCTCCACCCGAAGTACAGCACAAGCTTGTTATTACACTCAGACTGAGCTATGTGTTAGCATAATTGCTACAATTTGCTCACTGATAATTCTGTTGCTATTGTTCTGTACATGAGCTGGGAGAGTGATTAAGATATATCTGCCACCAGCATGATTCATCCAACAGACATCTTTTACTGAAGTGACCTTTATATAAAGATGACTGAGCAACTAAGCAAAGAGACATTAACCTCTACAAACAGTTCCCAGCTAACAGATATCTCTTCTGGAAATGGCAACCAGCCTCTTAAGTTTGTTGTTGTTGTTGTTTTTGTTGGTTTTTTTAAGTAGGTAGATGAACAGGCACAAAACAAATGCTGTTCCTCAAAAAGGCACGCGCTAGAAGCCTCAAATGCCCTCACAAACCAAACCCTGCAAGAACATTTAGGGAGAATTTTTTTTTTTTCTTTCCTTCAATCTATGGGACTCTGAGTCCTTCGTGTGATGTATACAACTGCCAGCCAGCATGGCCGAGTGACAGACTAGGAGACGATGTGCTTGCTCAGACTGCCTAGTACGCGCTACAGGATCAGGCCCTTTGCTCATACAAGAGGCCCCTTTAGCAAATTGAGAGAGACCATCAGCTCTCCTTGAAATCAGGGCCTGTCAACATCCCAATCCTGGAGTTTCATAATAGCTTCCCCCAAGACACACTCACTTGTTTTCATGATCTAGCATTCCTACAAGGCTCTACGATGTGGCTTTCAGCCCTACAACCATTACTAATGTTGTTAAGACACGCATCATAGGAGCATGCAGATGCTCAATTATTAAATGTGCTTTGGTATCGCATGGAAGCAGGAGCCTATGCCATTGAAAAACTACTAAAAGCAACAACAATTCAACTCTGAAACACTCAGACACACTTTCTAAGGATGTGTGTAGAGCACCTTGCTTATTATCTTTGTGAAGCTTACCCCAATCAAATTCCACAGCCACACACCCTCACACGAATACCACAGCAAACTCAGCAGGACAATTGGGGTGATAAATAATATTACTTATGACTTGTGTAACGCTGTTCATCTCAAAGCACTCTATAAACTTAACTAAATAGAAAAAATCTAAGAAGCAGGTGTGCTAGGAGCATGCTTCTAAGACTGGATTATACTGCAAAGTGGCATCCATTTTTTAAAAAAAATAAAACCCAAAAAACCACAGTCCTACATTTCAGTTCAGTGAATCACAGCTTCACCAGCATTAAACAGATGTCTACTGGTCAATTTCTGTCAAGAAATGAACACTGTAGCAACACCATGGCCTTAGATTGCACTTGCAGGGGAAAAGAAAACACTATTAAAAAGATTTCTTCTCTTTTTTTTTTGTCTCTTTTTTCTTTCAATCATCCATCAACCAGCATCAAAGCATTTCAGTAGAGTATGAAATTCTGCTTCAAGAATAATGCCTCTGCTTCAAGCAGATCTGCACACTTCCGCCAGAGAAACAGGCGGGTTTTCCTGTTTGCCTCAAAATTAACTCAGCTATGGAAGCAATCTGAATTCTAACCTGCCTGGTACCTCAGTTAAAACTTAACAGTTGTGCGCTGCCAGTATAGCCATTATTACCACAAGTAACATATGAGGCTGAACAAAATCAGGTAGACAGCACCCAGACCGTAACCGCGGATGAACTGGTTGTTACAGAAATCATCAGTTGACTTGAAAACCTAGTGCTCTGACCTGAAAAACAGAATTTTCTGCCTGTGAAGCGAAATACCACAACACTGCGCACACTACTTAAAGAATTTGAAGTAAACCAGTCCGATATGTTTGGTTTTTAAGCAAGGGGTGGCTGTGCCAGCATGTGAATTGATACACACACAAGAGGGAGTAAGGTGGGCTGGCACTGAGGATAAGGGGAGCTCAGCTACTGAGAGTCAGCAAGACAGAATTTCTGTCAAGACAGGAAGGCTTGGCAGCCACCATGCTGACCTCTTCAAATTTGGCAAGTGGGAACAGAGGAATCGATTCTCCTGCAACTCCTCAGTTCAAGTAGAGCTGTTGTATGATAAGCAATAAAAATAACTTTGTTACAGTAAATCCATCCATGTGCTCTAAGGAACAGCACAGAAATTCTGTGCAGCATGAAACAAAACAGAGCCACCCTCCCAGTAGGCCCCTAAAGGACTGACATGAATAACACACATTTATAAAGTTTAGAGTCTGGGCAAACCATGTAAGGATCTGGCAAAATGGGAAAACACCTGCTTCGTGGTTCGTTAGCAACTTATCTCCCCAGAGTGAAAAGGCTTTGCCCAAGAATTGAAGTCAGAACTCATTTCCGTCCCCAGAAAATAGCCCTAGCCAGGAAAATGCAGATACTTACTTAGTTTGGGATAGTCCTCCAGAAGAAAATTCCACTTTCGGGTGTTCACATCTGCAATAGTTAAGACAAACAGTGTCATAAGTCTCCATTTCAAAAGACTCAGTTCTCTGTCCACAAGAACATGGCTAACCATCCATATCCTCTGCACTTCAGAGCTGCTTTAAAAGAATTCTTACCTTGTCCAGCAATCAATTCTCCTCTGTTTGCTTTCATATTAAGCAAACAGTTTGAAAATTTAAAAGTACGATCACACATCTAGAAGTGGTGGTATCAAGGTCAACTCCCCTAATGAACCATTGTAAAGAACCCACCGACCCAAGGATTTCAGCAACCACTCTCTCTTCACTGGATGAAGGGATGAAGAATGTGCATGAAGGTTCCCATTTGTTAACCAACAAATTCTGACTTCAGTCCGTAACACAATCACTCTCAGCTGTACCTCTGTGCCCTACAATGTGCTCAGGAAGGTGCAGAGTAAACTCACCAATTGATCAATACCCAAAATGTAGTAAGAATGTCAGAATTGTCTGGCAGGTTTATCCCTGGGTGCACCTGCCTACAGCTTCCAGGGAGGGTAGAGTGAATTTCGAGTCAGCTGAAGACACAGTGAGCCAGGTGGGGCCCTGCCCAAAGAATAAGAGCTCCAGAATTTGTTCCCAGGCTGTCACTGACCTGCTGTGACACTGTGCAGGTTGTGCCTCATTTCCCACATTACAAATGGGAAAACTGGTATTTACCATTGAAATCTGAATTCCAACATGAAGAGTGCTCTATAGTCCCACTTGCCTAAAAAACATCAGTAAAGCTACTGGTAAACTCTGTTTGCTCAGGCAGTTGCAGCTGTTACACACCAGAGTAAAGCAAGAGAAATATGAGAATGTCCAACTGCATTTGGTAATAAAGATAAGAACTTATGCATGGTGTCCATACTCCTGGCAGTTTATCAGCACATCCTACCTCAACAGTAAATGTAATCATGCTGAGTCCTGAAATACCACCTTGGCTAACAGGCCCAGAAGAGGACATGTTCTGGCACAAAGTGCAGGACACAGATACAGCACTATACAAGAACTAAAGGAGCTCTCACCAAAGCACATCCTCTCATTCTTTTTCAGAGCGACGTACTCTCACAATCTCTCTCCTCTGAAGCATGCGCAGCACTCCACGAGCAGCCCCAACATCATCATTAGAATAAAGCAGAAACAACCAGAGACTCACCATAATTTCTGGAAGCCATTTGTTTGAATACTCCAATCACTTCCACAGAATATCCAATATCAACCTCAAACCGCAAGCGAGAGATCAGCACACACTTCCCTTTGACGAGGGCTGAGGGTTTCTTCCAGTTCTTACACATCTTCAATAGGGATTTCACATCAACCCTACTGCCAACAAAATAAGAGCCTGATGCCAAGCCAACTGCATTTTCTCCTTCTAGTGGTGCCAGAATTACTGACGAAAGTTGATTTGCTGCTTCCACTAGGGAGAAAAGCATAAGACAGAGAGAAAAGAATTAGTAACAAAGAACATGGATAAACTATATATGCACAGGATGGTTTGGGAAGAGAAGGAACAAGGGGATAACAAACAAATTATGCATCTTCAGGTTTAAATGGAATGAGGACTCCCTGCTTTCACTCAGAGGGACAAAGAACAGAGAGAGTGATGGCCTGGAAGAGCAGGTTGGTGGGATTTTCCACAGCGAATACAGCAGGGGGAGAGGGAACGTGACAGTAGGTGAACAAGGGCCTGTCCAGCACTGTCACTGCATTAGGCTCCCTCTCTGTCAGCAATCCCAAAACGTGGCTCACTAGGCCAGGGCAAGCAATCTGCAGAACCACATTCGGCAGTAAATTGCACACAGTCACACAGCATTTTCACTCACAAAGTTGCAGGGACAGGGGCATGGTGATCAATAACGTGTGCCTGAAAAGATGGGAAGGTGCTTCTGCAAACAGCAAAGGAGAAAGATCTAAAAATATCTGCCTCCTGTCAGTGTCTGATACGCAATCTCATCTAGAAAAAATGCTGTGTATTCACAATAGGATATCAGGAAGGATATCAGGAAGGAATCTAGTCCAAACCTCTAAATCTTTGTTACAATTTAAGTTAAGTCCATCACCCTGTATTCTACCGTGTCTAACAGCTACACTTGTACTTCCCCCCAGCCATCTACGCCCCTCTCTTACTAATCACTAGCAACCACCTCTGTCATGATGCCAGGGCATGGGGAGAGAAGGGACACAGCGTTTTACAGCTATTAGCCTGAGACCACAGCTATCCACACTAATAAACATCACACTTTTCCCTGTGTCTCTCTGCCAATCTATACCCGTATGTTGTCTTTACCGTAATAACTTAACTGTGACGGTTGAGGAACAAGAACCGTTTTTCTTTTATTTTTACAGCACCAAAATAGTGATGTTCGTCCCCAAGACTCCAACTCACAGGTACTGCAGTAACACAAAGATTCATGAACGTCTCCAGAGTCCATTAGACTCAAAAGCTGGAGACCACTAAGCACATTCTGCCTCCATGTATTTGTAGAGAGAGGAAACCTCCCCTATCCAGTAGCTGTTTAAGGTAAATCCAAGTGAATCCAGTCCTTTAAGCATTGAGCTGCACATCATGATCCACTCTGCTTCTTTTTAAATAGTCCAACTTACTGATATGCAACAAAAACGTACAAAATTTAAGTTCCCTGGAAGTGCTGAAGACCAGGATGGATGGGGCTTTGAGCAACCTGGTCTGGTGGGAGGTGTCCCTGCCCATGACAAGGGGGTTGGACTGGATGATGTTTAACATCCCTTCCAACCCAAACCATTCTAGGATCCTATGATTCAGTGGTTAAGATCTGAAAAGGGAAGAAAAGGGAGGGAAAAAAAATTCAGACACTTTCTTCCTAACCAGTTAGTAAATAAACCATTTGGATTTCATCCAACTTTATTTTAAAAGAAGTGACTTCCACAATAAAGCCAGGCATTTGAGTTTTCTACTCCAAAGAAAAAGTTTCAAAATTTCACTTGATGCTCTTAAAGCAGAGGACTAGGAAACCACCAATTTCGACTTTCTTCTCCCAATGCAACAGGCAAAAGACTTTAGAAGCTACCATTTCAGTATTGCATAGTTAGATCTCACCTCTACAACTAATACTGAAAAAAACTGGAAAAAAACCACATTTTGTTATTTTATTTGAACACCTGTTTCTAGGCTTAACCGACTGCATGCTTAATTTATAGTACAAAAAAAGAAACATAATACAGGACACCAGTATTCAGAAGAACAAAATTAACTGTGGGAAGTTCAAACCAAGGCTCTTTAAAGTCAGTTCCCTTTTGTCAGGGTATCACAGAATCACAGAACGTTAGGGA